ATCACTTCGGGATGCTTCATGATTTTCGGGGAGTTGGAACCGATGGTCATAAGAGTTGCTTTTATGGTCTTCGGGATGTTCATCACTTCGGGTTGATTCATGATTTTCGGGTAGCTGAAACAGATGGTCATAAGGGTTGCTTTCATGGTCTTCAGGGCGTTCATCACCTCGGGATGCTTAATGATTTTCAAGTAGCTTGAACAAATAGTCATAAAGATTGTTTGCAAAATCTTCGGAACATTCGTCACTTCGGGACGCTTCATGATCTTTGGGTAGCTAGAACAGATGGTCATAAGGATTGTTTTCATGGTCTTCGGGATGTTCATCACTCCGGGTTGCTTCATGATTTTCGGGTAACTTAAAAAGATGGTCATAAGGGTTGCTTTTATGGTCTTAAGGACGTTCATCACTTCGAGATGCTTCATGATTTTCAGGTAGCTTCGGGATGTTATACGGGTTGCTACCTGAAAATCATGAAGCATCTCGAAGTGATGAATATCCCGAAGACCGTGAAAGCAACCCTTATGGTCATCTGTTTAAAATACCCGAAAATCATGAAGTGTCCCGAAGTGATGAACATCTTGAAGACCATGAACGCAACCCTTATGACAATTTTCGGGTAGCTTAAACAGATGGTCATAAAGCTTGCTTTCGTGGACTTCGGGACGTTCATCACTTCGGGATGTTTCATGATTTTCAGGTAGCTTGAACAGATGGCCATAAGGGTTGCTTTCATGATCTTCAGAACGTTCATCTCTTCGGGATGCTTCATGATTTTCGGGGAGCTAGAATCGTTGGTGAAAAGGGTTGGTCTTCGGAATGTTCATCACTTCGGGTTGCTTCATGATTTTTGGGTAGCTGGAATAGATGACCATAAGTGTTGCTTTCATGGTCTTCGGGACGTTCATCACTTCGGGATGCTTCATGATTTTTGGGTAGCTTGAACAAATAGTCATAAAGATTGTTTGCATGGTCTTCGTGACGTTCGTCACTTCGGGATGCTTCATGATTTTCGGGTAGCTTCGGGATGCCATAAGGGTTGCTACCTGAAAATCATGAAGCATCTCGAAGGGATGAACGTCTCGAAGACCATGAAATCAACCCTTATGACCATTTGTTCAAAATACCCAAAAATCATAAAGCTTCACGAAGTGATGAACGTCTCGAAGACCATGAAAGCAACTTTTATGACCATTTGTTCAAATACCCGAAAACCATTAAGCATCCCGAAGTGATGAACGTCCCGAAGACCATGAAAACAACTTTTATAGCTACTTCGTGATGTTTCAGGATTTTCGGGTAGCTTAATACACATGCGTTTCAAGATCGTGTTTGATATAAAAAGTTGAAAACTCAGTTTACTATGTGGTTTCACCATGAATAAACTAACCCCCTTCTCGATTTCATGATAGGAAAACTATTTTCAGGATGCACAAACCAACATCATTTTTCCCACTGCAGAGTTTTTATATGCGAATTTTCAGCTGTGCGGTAACCGCTTGTGGGGAATTATGACTCTGCTCGTTATAGAATTAAGGGAATATAACAATTTATCTGATTCAACTTTAAGCAACCCTCCATGGCCTCTTATCAGTCTAAGCCAAGGTTTCTCTCTTAAGGGTACATAGCGTCGACTCATCTGACTCTTTGGTCTCGTTTTACTTTCAAAGCAAACTTAATCACTGCAGACCAATTATCTCTTGACAAATTTATATTGGGCAACGGAGGAGCTGAAAATCCCTCAAAGACAGTAAATCAAGTAGATCCAGTGAAGTCCTTATTCTCCCTCTCAAATCTCTCTTTCTCTTTCAGTACCACTTCTTCAGCAAATTCCCAGCATCTCCCATACACCGCATTCGTACTTCTCTCCTTTGGGACATAAATTCTTACATCATACACGTCCAGGTTCGTGA